CTTCATATCAGACAAAAGTTTTCAAATTTGTATATTTTTTCAATCTGTGATCAAATATTCCTCAAGAATTATAAAATTAGCATGTGTTCACTGAAAACAATGGAATAAAATAATATAATGATCTTATGGAAAATACATATAATTACCCCTACACACACACACATACACACACCCTTCCTTCCTCACCTCCAAACTCCAGTGTATTATTCCATACTTTTCTCAGTATTCTGTGTGTGTGTGTATGTATTTTACTTGGTATATCATGAATATCTCTCCAAGTCATTAATATAGATATAACTTATTCTTTCTCTGGTTGCTGAAGAAAATGCCTATTATGAATATACAATGATTTGTTCAGGCTTCCACCCAATGGTGAATATTAGTTTCCAATATTTTGCTATTATAGATAATGCTTCACTAGGCATTCTTATATGATCCAGCAATTCCACTTTTGGGTATTTATCTGAAGAAAATCAAAACATTAATTTGAAAAGATATATGCACTCCTAAGTTCATTGCAGCATTGTTTACAATAGCCAAGATATAGAAGCAACCTAAGTGTCCATTGGTAGATGAATGGCTAAAGAAGATGTGATATGTATCTACAATGGAGTATGGCTCAGTCATAAAAAAAATGAAATCTTACCATTTACAGCAACATGGATGGACCTAGAGGGTATTATGCTAATTTAAATAAGTGAGAGAAAGACAAATACCATATGATTTCACTTATATGTGGAATCTAAAAGACAAAACAAATGAACCAACAAAACAAAAGAGAAAAGACTCATAGATACAGAGAACAATCTGATGGTTGCCAGATAGGAGGTGGTAGGGGTTGGGCAAAATAGAGGAAGGGGATTAAAAGATACAAACTTCTAGTTACAAAACAAGTAAGACACTGGGATGTAATGTACAGCATAGGGAATATAGTTAATAATACTGTGACAAATGTATGGTGACAGATGGTAGCTAGATTTATTGTGGTGATCACTTTGTAATGTATAGAGATGTTGAATCACTATGTAGTACATCTGAAACTAACATAATATTGTATATCAACTACATTTCAATAAAAATATAAGCACTCTTATGCTTATATCCTGTATCAATAAAAAATAAGCATCTCACAGTGACAGAGGGAGAGGAAAAGAGTTAGATTTCTCTTGGTACTGAATCTGAAGTGAAAGATATCTGGGATAATATATACCCAAACCATTTATAGATAATATCTTGGAAAGGGGCCTAGGAGTGGGGTCACAGGGCAATTAAATATTATTTTACAGATTTTCCCTGATATTTGCTTATCTAAAACATATACTACCTTTATACTCAGAAAAGTAAATTAAATTAAAAATTTGAAGATATACAGAAATCATTCCTTCTGCAACCAATTAACAAAGTAATGATATGGGCAATATCAACAGGGAAGGATGCTAAATATGCTATAGAAGGTATTTTAAAAATTATCTTCAAATAGTTTATTAAAAATATATGAACAGGAGTCCAGAGTCTCTTATGGTTTATCTCCCAGGAAACAAATTGAGGGTTGCAGAAGGGAGGGGGGGTGGGGGAATGGGGTAACTGTGTGATGGGCATTAGGGAGGGCATGTGATTTGATGAACACTGGATGTTATACACAATTAATGAATCATTGAACGCTACATCAAAAACTAATGATGTACCATATGTTGGCTAACAACATAAGTAAATAAATATCCTCAACTGGAAAAAAAATTAACGATGTACTATATGTTGGTTAATTGAACTTAATAAAAAAATGCATAAACAGCATATTAGTTCCTAGGGCTGCCATAATAAAATACCATAAACTAGGTGGCTTTTAAACACGAGAAATTTATTCACAGTTATGAAGCCTGGAAATCCAAAACCAAGATGTCAGCAGGTCCATGCTCTCTCTGAAGGCTATAGGGGAGAAATTCTTCCTTGCCTCTTCTAGCATCTGGTAGTTACTGGCAACTATTGGATTCCTTTGCTTGTAAATGCATCATTCCAGTCTCTGCCTCTATCTTCACATGGCCTTCTCCCCTCAGTGTCTGTGTCTTCCCATGGCATTTCTCTCTTTCTGTCTCTGTATCTCTTTTCTTCTCTCCTTATAAGGACACCAGTCATATTCAATTAGGATCCTAATCCAGTATGATCTCATCTTAACTTGATTATATCTGCTAAGGCCCTATTTCCACATAAAGTCACATTCACAGGTAACAGGGGTTAGGACTTCAACATGTCTTTTGGGGGGATACAATTTAAGCCACAGCAAGAGAATAATAATGTGGAAGTTTATAGACCTAAATATAAATACCAAATGTTTCTGAAAGATAAGATTACTGATTACATATATTTCATTCTTTATAATTTTCATCATCTTTTAAGATTTTTCAATGAACATTTGTAAAAACTAACATTTATAGAGCTGAAATGACCTATTACATTTTGTTACACACACGTACACACACACACACAGCCTTATCCTTAGGTGAGGATGGAATTTTCCATGGGGCTAGTTTGGTTAGTAGAGTGCTGCATATGTACTTGATATCAAGGGTTGTCTGACTGCTTGGAGTGTATTTCTCTTAACATCTCTCTTCAGATGACAGTATTATAATCATAATAAAAGGAACTGAAAATGCTACATCCCATTTTGTTAGGCACACCACATCTCTTCACACATGAACACATATACTTCCTTGTCTTTAGTTAAGAACGGAATTTTCCATCGCTGAGCAGTGCAGCCTGTACATCTTTCATCTCTAGTTGCCTGACTGCCCTAGGGGTGTCTTCCTTGTCATCTACCTATGTAGATGACTAGCTCTGGTCAGCAGCTGCTACTTATCAATATTTCTATGCTTTCTAAGGAGAGAAGAGAGATCATGGGGGGGAGGGGAGAAAGAGAGAGCATAAGGAAGAGAGAGAGAAGATATTAAATTTTATTTTTCTTACTGGTTATGATACTGTATGATTTACCTATATACATATAAACATACATACAATGGAATACTAAAGTAGCCTGATAAAATGATTGAAGATGAACTCCTTGAAGTGATATGGAGTGATATTAAATTATATGAAAGAAGCAAATTCAAAAATAGCATGGTTAAGTGATTCCTTTTTTGGAAAAAAATGATGCTAAAAACTGACCCCATAAAAACTAACCTCATCATGTTGCACACCCCTCTCCATGTTTTTTCACTTATGGTAGAGAAACTGTCCCTAAATCCAAGAAGACTGCATTAAAGACATAGTGCTTTAGTTGAACAGTGGTTCACAGTCTGATTTTTTGCCAACTAGCAAGGCAAGCTGCAGTTATGACTTCAACACATTCATAATTTCTACTTTTCAAACAGATTTGGAGGGAGAGTGAGAATTAGTGGCTTGAAATGTAGCTCATGACACAATTCATAGCATGGTTAGGGTTACCTTCAAAGATTCTACCACAAAGATGGTAGACCAGGAATGAATAATGAGTGATAGGAAGAGCAGGCCCACCTGCTGTGAATACAGATAGACATGGGTTCTGATTTGAGCTTCCCCACTTCCCAGCTGTGTGACCTGGGGCATGAGGCCAACAGTGTTCAGTCCCTTGCCCCATTGCAACATTGGGCTAGGTCTTTCTTTTTCTAATATGCATGTCCAAATAGGTGAAAAATGAAATCTCTTTATTATTTATATTTGGAATTAGTTAACTGTTAATGAGGTTGGGGAGTTTTTTGGGGGGACAGGGGAGGGCTATTTGGTTTTTATATAACTATTGGTCATTTTTATTTTGTTTGTGGAAATGTCACTTCCACTCAAATTTCATTGGCCAAAGTCAGTTTATGGCAATGCCTAAATCCAAGGATGTTGAGAACAATCCAACAACACACCTAGAGTGAGAATCAGAAATATTAGGCAAACAACGATATTGACTACTATAGATAGATTTCCAGAAGTGGAATTGCTTGGTCAATGACAGGCATATTTGAAATTTCCATAAATATAACTTCCAATGTTCAAAGGGGATATAGCAATCAAATTTCAATAAAAATGTACAAAAGTACCTATTTCCACACATCCTTTCCAGCTCTGGATGTTGTCATATTTTTGTAAATATTTTTAATGAAATACAACATAAATAAAGTATCAATGTACAGCTTGATATTTTTGCTTACAAAATGAACACACTCATGGAACCAACACCCAGATCAAGATATAAAACATCACCTGCACTCCTCCATGTCTCTCTCAGTCATTAGCTCCACAATGTAAACCACTATTTTGACTTCTATAACCATAAATGAGTTTTGCTTATTTTTGAACTTTATATAAGTGGAATCATACATGCATATTCTTTTGTATCTAACTTCCTTTGTTCAATATTATATTTGAAATGTATTCATGTTGTTTGTGATAGTACTTCATTCCTTTCCACTGCTGCTACAATTTTACTGGATGAATATATAACATCATTAGTTTGTTGTTGATAGGCATTTGGGTTATTTACTATTTTGGACTGTTACAAATAACGTTGCTATGAACATTCTCATACTTTTATTTTGGTTCACATATATAGGCATTTCTGTTGTGCTTATATACCTGACTGGAATTACTGAGTAATATGGTAAGCTCTGATATGTATAACCCATCAGTTTTCCAAAGCAATTTTATCAATTTATATTCCTACCAGCAATGTATTAGTTCCCACATCCTTGCTGACATGTCTATTTTTTTTTAAATTTTAGTGTTCCTCAAGGGATGTAGAGTATTATCTAATTGTGATTTTAATTTGCATTTACTTGATAACTAACAAAATTGAGTGCCTATTTATTGTCTTATTGGCCATTTGGATATTGTATTTTTGGTGGAGCTGTTCAAGATTTGTCACTAAAAATAATTAGGTTGCCTCCTTCTTCTGTCACTCCTGGTGCTGCTAGTGTGCTCATTGGGTGTGGACCTGGTACCTCTTTTGTGAAGCAGCAGCTGAGGAGATTCTGGTACTCACCATGGCTGATGAAAAGACCAAGGAAGGAGTCAAGACTGAGAACAATGACCATATTAATTGGAAGGTAGAGGGACAGGATGGTTCTGTGGTACAGTTTAAGATTAAGAGGCATACACCACTAGGGCACCTGGGTGGCTCAGGCGTTAAGCGTCTGCCTTCGGCTCAGGTCGTGATCCCAGGATCCTGGGATCGAGCCCCACATCGGGCTCCCTGCTCGGCGGGAAGCCTGCTTCTCCCTCTCCCACTCCCCCTGCTTGTGCTCCCTCTCTCATTGTGTATCTCTCTGTCAAATAAATAAATAAAATCTTAAAAAAAAAAAGAGGCATACACCACTTAGTAAACTAATGAAAACCTATTGTGAAAGGGTTTATCGGGGCGCCTGGGTGGCTCAGTTGGTTAAGCGACGGCCTTCGGCTCAGGTCATGATCCTGGAGTCCCGGGATCGAGTCCCGCATCGGGCTCCCTGCTCAGCGGGGAATCTGCTTCTCCCTCTGACCCTCCTCTCTGTCATGCTCTCTGTCTCTCATTCTCTCTCTCTCAAATAAATAAAATCTTAAAAAAAAAAAAGTTTAAAAAAAAGAAAGAGTTTATCAATGAGGCAAATCAGATTCCTATTTGATAGACATCCAATCAATGAAACAGACATACCTACACAGTTAGAAATGGAGGCTGAAGATACAATTGGTGTGTTCCAGCAGCAGACTGGAGGTGTCTACTAAAAAGGGAACCTGCTACTTTACTCCAAAACTGTTCCTCGAAACCAAGAAGACATTCTCAATTAGAAAACCACAATTTGGTGGGCACCTGGGTGGCTCATTCAATTAAGCATCTGACCCTTGATTTTCGCTCAGGTCATTATCTCAGTGTGGTGAGATAGATTCCCGTAATCCAGCTCCACGCTGGGTGCGGAGCCTGCTTAAGATTCTCTCTCTCCTCCTCCCTGTGCCACTCCCCCTCCCCTTCTCCTTCTCTCTCCCTCTCTAAAAAAAAGAAAACCGCAATTTGGTTCCCCTGCATCCCACCATAGTACTATGGTATAGTTTTCTCTATTCTTTCATGTTCCCCTTCCCTATTGCTTTATTGTACATAAAGTAACTGTGTATATGCACAAGCATATTGCATTTTTTTAACTAAATGGCCAGTGGTATGTTTTGATCGGCATCAAATGGAGATGGGATGGGGAAAAATACTGGTTCTGTGAAAATGCCCTTTCTCCATTAGTAGCATGCTCATTCAGCTCTTATCTTTATATTCCAGTAAGCTGTTTTGCTCTCACTGTTTAACAAAAAAAGAACAACATAAAAATCCATGCATACCTTGTTCAATTGGAGAATTTTAAAGTTTTTCATTCACCATTGTAAAACCAAGGACCATTTTATAACTTTTTTGTATGTAGCTATTACATACAGGGCAATCTGTCCTTAAGTAGGGATAAAAAAATGAATCCTAGATAGTTTTCCCTTCAAGCATCTTGTTGTTTAAATAAACTTCTTGTTTAAAATGATAAAAAATAATAATTGGGTTACCTTTATCCTTATTGATTTGTAGTTCTGTATAATTCTGAATATAAGTCCTTTCTCAGATATAAGTATTGAAAGTAGTTTCTCCCATTCTGTGACCTGCCTTTCACTCTCTTAATAATGTCTTAATTTTAATAAAGTAGAATTTATTTTTTTGTTTCGGGTAAATGTTTCTTGTGTCCTTTTTAAGGAATGCTTGACTATATTAAAGTCACTAAGACATTACCTTATATTATCTTCAATAACTTTTATTTGTTTCACCTCTCACTTTTAATCTATGGTCCATTTGGAATTAAATTTTGTATATAGTTTGAAATAGATAAAAAGGATCATTTGGATTTATTTGGTAACCCAGTTGGTCCAGAGCCACTTAACAAAAGGACCATTTTCTCCCCTACTGCCTTGTGATGGATTTTTTTTATCATAAATTGAATGACAGTATACATGTAGATCTCTTTTCAGACTCTACTATACCATTGTTCAATTTTTCTATATTTGAAACAATAGTACACTGGTTAAATTATTATAGCTTTGTAAAATAATTTGATTTCTGTAAATCTTCAAACTTTGTTTTTTCTACAAGATTTTTTATACTGTTATTGCCATTTGTAATTCTATGTAAAATTTAAAATTCATTTGTCGATTTTCATTTAAAAAAGTTTACTGGCATTATTTTGAATCAGAGATCAAGTTAGGGAAAATTAGCATCTTTAAAATATAGAGTCTTCCATTTGCATCAACATGGATGTAACTGGAGGGGATTATGCTAAGTGAAAGAAGTCAAGCAGACAAAGACAATTATCATATGGTTTCACTCATATGTGGAACATAAGCGCAGAGGACCATAGGGGAAGGGAGGGAAAACTGAATGGGAAGAAATCAGAGAGGGAGACAAACCATGTATAACTCTGGACTCCAGGAAACAAACTGAGGGTTACAGAAGGGAGGGGGGTGGGGGGATGGGGTAGCCGGGGAATGGGTATTAAGGAGGGCACATGTTGTGATGAGTACTGGGTGTTATACACAACTAATGAATCGTTGAACACTACATCAAAAACTAATGATGTACTATATGTTGGCTAGTTGAACATAATAATAATAGTAAAAAATATACAATTCTCTTTTTATTTAGGTCTTTGTTAATTTCTCTCAATGTTTTTGTAGTTTTCTTTGTAAAGGTATTGTATATCTTTTGTTAATTTTAATCCTCAATATTTGATAATTTTTGAAACTAATACCACTGGTATTTTTCATTTTATTTTCTGCTTGTCACTAACATAGAAATATAAATCATTTTTGTATACTGTGATGGTTAATTTTTTGTGTCAAGTTGACTGGATCACAGGGTGCTTAGATATTTGACTGAACGTTATTTCTCAGTGTGTCTGTGAGGGTGTTTCTGGATGAACTTAGCATTTGACTAGGTGGACCCATGAAGTAGTTTGCCTTCTCTGGTATGAGTTGGCATCATCCAGTCTGTTGAGGGCCTGGATACAACAAAAAGGCAGAGGAAGAATCTAGCCCTTCCTGCCTGATCGCTTGAGCTGGGATATCAATCTTCTGCTGGCCTGGATCTTCATTGTCAGGGCTTCAGACTGACTGAATTACACCACTGGCTTTCCTGGATCTCCAGCCTGCAGATGGCAGACTGTGGAACTTCACAACCTCCCTAATTGTGTAAAGCAATTCCTTATAATAAATCCCTTCCTATATATATCCTATTAGTTCTGTATCTCTAGAGAACACTAACCAATACATACAGTGAGTGATCTTATATCAGGCAAACTTGCTAAATTTATTTATTAATTCTAATAAGTTTTTTGTAAATACTTTTAGAATTTCCAAATTTACAACCATGTCATCTGTAAATAATGAAACACTTATTTCTTCCTTTCCAATCTTTGTAAGTTCCATTTCTCTTTCTTAATTTATTTTCTAAAATATCCAGTTCAAGTTTGATTAGAAATGGTAATACAGACAACCAGGTCTCATTTCTGATCTTAGAGGGAAAGCTTTCAATAGTTTACTATTAATATGCCTTGTGTTGGGTATGTTTTAATACCCTATATCAGATTAAGAAATTTTCCTTCAATTCCTAGTTTTCCAAGATTTTTTCACATGAATAAGTGTTGAATTTTATCAAAGACCTTTTTTCTGCCTCTCTTGTGATGATCATATATTCTTTTCTGTTAATGTGATGAATTACATTATTGCCTTTTATTTATTTATTTTTATTATGTTCAATTAGCCACCATATAGTACATCATTAGTCTTCGATGTAGTGTTCAACAATTCATTAGTTGCATATAACACCCAGTGCTCATCACCACACTGCCTTTTAAATGTTAAACCATTCTTTCATTCCTGGAATAAATCCAACTTGGTTATGATGTACTATCCTCATAATCCCTGGATTTATATTGCTAATATTTTATGTAGGAGTTTTGCATCTACATTCACAAGAGATTTGGTCGATGATATGCCTTTCTTATAATGTCTTCTATAGGTTTTAGCATCAAGATTATAATGGCCTCATAAAACACATAAGGAAATGTGTCATTCACTCTTTTTTTTAATTTCTGGAGGAGTTCAAGTAACATTCATTTTATTTTATCCCTGAAATATTAGTGACAATCCACTGTGAATCCATCCATTCTTTGTAGGAACATATTTAATTGTGGAACCAATTTGTTTAATATGTATAAGACTATTTGGATTTTATATATCTTCTTGAAACCAGTTTTGGTAAGTTGTGGTTTTTACATAATTTGTGCATTTTATGCAAATTATCAAATTTATTATTCATAATATCTTCTCATCTTTCAATATCTATAGATTCTGTACTGATGTCCCTTTTTCATGACTGATACTTGTAATTTATATTTTCTCTGTTTTTCTTGTAATATTGCTACAGACTTATCAATTTAATTGGTCTTTTCAAAGAACCAACTTTTGGCTTTGTTAATCTTCTCTACTGTCTGTTTTCTATTTTTTTGATTTCTGCTCTTACCATCTTCTTCCTCCTTTCTTGGAGTTTAATTTGCTATTTTTTAACCTTATACAGGTGGATGGTTACATCATTGATTTTTAGCCTTTCATCCCTTCTAATATATACATATAAGGCTTTAAAGCTCTCTCTCTAAGAACTGCTTTAGATGAATTAGATAAGTTGTAATGTCATAGTTTTATTATAATTCAGTTCAAAATACTTTATAATTTCTATTTTGCTTTATTTTATTTTATTATTTTTTTTAGAAAGAGAGGGGGAGAGAGAGATCATCTCATGTGTGAGGGACGGAGGGGCAGAGGGAGGAGAGATAAAATCTTTTTTTTTTATTATTTTATTATGTTATGTTAATCACCATACATTACATCATTAGTTTTTGATGTAGTGTTCCATGATGCATTGCTTGCCTATAACACCCAGTGCTCCATTCAATACGTGACCTCTTTAATACCCATCACGAGGCTAACCCATCCCCCACCTCCCTCCCCTCTAGAACCCTCAGTTTGTTTCTCAGAGTCCATAGTGGGAGAGAGAAAATCTTAAGCAGGCTCCACACCCAGCACAGAGCCCCCAGCGTGGAGGTCGATCTCATGACCTGAGATCATGACCTGAGCTAAGATCAAGAGTTCGACACTTAAATGAGCCACCCAGGCACCTCTATATTTTCCATTTTGAATCTTTCTTTGATATTGAGTTATTTAGAAACATACTGCTTAATTTCTCAATATTTGGAGGTTTCTAGTCTTTTTGTTATTGATTTCTACCTTAATTCCACTGTGGTCAGAGAATATACTCTGATTTCAGCCACTTGAAATTTGTTGAGAATTGCTTTGTGGCTCGGCATATGGTCAGTTTTGATAAATAGTCCAGGAACAATTTGAAAAGAATGTGTATTCTACATTTGTTGCATACAATGTTCTAAATATATTAGGACATATTTGATAGTCTTGTTCATGCTTCTATACCCATACCTTTGATTTTGTCTGCTTATTCAAAATCTCCACACATGTTTGTAGATTTATCTATTTATGTTTAGAGTTCTGTCAGCTTTCACTTAATACATTTTGGAGCTATTTTATTTTGTGCATACTACTTATGGTTTTCTCTAACTTGTTGAATTGATCCTTTAATCATTGCGATATATCTAGTATCTCTCATAATGCTTTTTGTCTTAAAATCTAATTTGTCTTAT